ACTTGGTAAGATTCTTGAAATACTTGATTTGACTCAATTTTTTGTTTCAAGAATCTTGCCAAGTAAAATTTTCTTACTCCATTGGCAGAAATACTGTATTTGACTTAATTGGAGTCAAATTCTCAGACTAACAAGACAAATAATCTGACACATTCTGAAAACGTTATTATTCTTACACAATCAGTTCTTGTTTAGTAAATCAGTCTCAAAACAAGATCAAAAAGACTTTTTGGCTGATATAAGGTTTTAAAACTTGGTAAGATGGACAGTTTTTGCAGTGTGTTGGTTTGTTTGTTTGTTCATCTGTCAGGAACCATGGATCGAAGATCACATAAATCTTAATGTAGTAAAGATGAATTCTTAGAACAGTGACTAGCTACTTTAGGAGTTGGCAACAGTTCATGTCGTCAGTGTAGGTTTCCTTGAGGATGTTTTTGTTTGGACAGCAGATAATTTTGAATGCAAAAAGACTTTTTATGGCTTAGTTCATTGAAATAAATTTGATTTTGGAAAAATTGTTATTGACAGGTCAGAGGAAAAACCTGAAATAGGCATTGGCCAAAAAACAACAACAATAAAAACAACAGCAACCCAGAATCAGTGCTTGTCTTATGAGCATCAAAGGGTTGCGTCTGTCAGATGAGCAAAATAACAGCTGCAGCCCATTTAGTGTGTCTGACACAGTGAATATGTAGTTTATATGTGATGATTATCAAAAAAAAAAAAAAAACTGGGATGAGGATTTGCAAGTATAATCATTTAGCACCGCAGTGTGATGTATCAAACCTAAAACTGATTGTGTTTATTGTTTTAGTGTCCAAATTTGGCACGTTTGAAAGGCAGGTGCACCATAAGCATGGCAGGCATCATTATCCACTCTGCTGCAGTGTGTGAAAGTAATCAAATAAAAACTAGAGCACTTTAATATAAATAAAACATTTAACTGCAGTTTTAAAAACAGTTTGTGAAACTTGTCTATCTCAGCTGTCATCCTCTTATTTCCCTTTTTATTTTTTTTACTTTTTATCTGTTGAGTTGACATGCAGGACTGTGACAAGTATTATTTTCCCTTTTCTGAATCTCTCTGCTGGCCAGCCCCCGGGTGCAGCTGCTGTTCTAAATGCATGGGGTTGTGGGGGCTATAATGTATGTTTTGGTTGACAAATCATTAAAAGCAATTTTAAATTCCATGTTAAAGTATCACAACAAACTTTAAGATAACAGCAACAAAACGTTAATAAAACAAATCAAAATTAAACTAATAAAACACTTGTTTATGGTCCAGGCCAGAAAGTGCTACTCATGCAGCTCCAGAGCCACAGGCTGCCAACCCATCCTGCAGAAACACTTCTTACAACGCTGCATTTTCTTGCATCAGGATCAGTTGCCTCCTTGGTGACAGTCACCTAAAACCCTCATTTCAGTAGGGTAATCTGCACCAGTTTTGCACCTGTTATTATTTCTGCAGGCAACACGCCCACTAATAGTACAGCAGTTGTTTTTTTTTTTGCAGAGCAATTTAGCACTTGCTATCTGGGATCTTATTAAATCAGCTCCTAACTCTTATTCTTTCTGCGATCAGGAGACTTACACTTGATGAGAGCACGCAGCTCTGAGGTCATACAGAGGTGGAGGAGTTTGTTTTCTGCTGGACCATAGCTGATCAAACAATGAGGGTCACTTGTTGTTCCTTTAGTCCCTGACTGTTGTCGAGCTGTCTTAGTGTGCAGATATATGAAAGCTTGCACACAAGATGGAAATGATGCCTCTGGACTGATGGC